CGTTAAAATGCCGTTAATCACGCCTTTTTTAAAATTTCCTCGTCAAACAATAATTAAAAATAAAAACACTAATAGTAGTATGTAATGGTATCAAAATTAAATTAAGATTTTCCAAGTAATTAAAACATTCGTACTATTAAAGTATTATATTGTTAAATTTCATCAATAACTTGTTGATTCAAATGTAAACACTTTAATTCTCTTTAAACAAAATTTTAAATTTAAATCTTATAAATAGAGAAACAAGTACAAGTAGAGTTTCACCTAATGGTGTTTGACCTAACTTGATTTCGGATTAATTATGATCTAATATGATTATCAAATATCAAGATACTAATACCAAAAAAATTATGTTGTTAAATCTTAATTAATAATTATTACTAATGTAATAATAGAAAGAATGAAAATTTGAGCTAAAAATTTAAAATTAATTATATAGTTTATATTATATTATAAAATTAATTTATACATATAATATTATAAGTTTAAAAAAATTAAAAATTAATTATTAAATAATATATGACTTATTTTTTCATATTTTAAATTATATAATTTATATTACGTTATCCATTTCAAATTTTAATCTTAAATTTTAATTACATTTATAATTATTCTTACCATTACTACTACAAGGGAAGTGAGGTACAATGCAAATTTATTTGAGTTTTATTTATTAATCATGTAAATAAAATTAAATGTCTTGATTATTTTATGTCAAAATAATCTGATTTTTACGTTTTTTTTTTATTAAATTAAATATTAGAAATGAAAAAAAGGCTATTGAAGATTGAGGGAAAAAAATTAGAGTGGGAGAGAAGTCGCCTTCCTTGTTGCTTCAATGTTCCACCTCTTTGCAACCCCACACCTCTCCATTCATTATCTGTATTTTGTTTTCTTTTTCCCCATTTTCTTCTTACGCTTTTCCAAAGCTCATTTTCTCCGTCTTCTTCTACACTTTAAACGTCACATGTGTATATATAAAGAAGCAAAAACAGAGAGAAAAATGCAGAACAGGGGAGAAGGAAATCACCCCCCATATCAAGAAGTACTGAGACCCAGATAAGATTTTCCATCAAAAGCTTTGATTTTTCCTTCTTTAAAGGGAACAAACGAGGTAGGAATCATTTACTCTGTATCGATATCCAGCATTGAATTGAATGTTTGTTAACTTGTTTTTATCTGTTTTTTGAATCTTGATCATTGGATGATGAGTCAAATTGTTTGTTTTCATCTTCTTCTCTTCTGTGGTTTCTTTCTTTTGGTTGGTTTCTGGCATAGAATGGAATATTTTGAATTTTCCCAGCTTGATTCCCAATCCAATGCAGTTCTTGCTACTTGAGATGAATACCCTTTTGGTTGATCATGCTAAGAACTTTATAGAATTCAGTTCACTTCATTAGTTTTCTTGAATCTCAACTCAAGTTTTGAGGTTTAAACGGATTAATTTTCTGTTCAATGGTTGGATTAGCTATGGATGTAGTACATGGAGAGAATGGAGTTGAAGAAGCCAAAGGAATTGGAAACTACTCGCCACATAAGGGCAGTTTCAGTTTTGTTCAGGAAAGGTCTCCAAGAAGTACATTGAGTCCACAAAGTCCACGGAGTTGCTCAATTGATTTGGCCATTGATGGTGTGGTGGAAACCTCGATCGAGCAGCTTTATAACAATGTCTGTGAGATGCAGAGCTCTGACCAGTCGCCCTCGGCTAGCTACATATCATATGGGGAGGAATCGAGGATTGATTCAGAATTGTGTCATCTTGTTGGAGATTATGGAGAGTTGGAGGTAACTAAGGAGGTGGTGGTGGAGAACAAAGAAGAGGGCAGTGTTTCTGTTGGTGACTTGACTCTCAAGATAGAAGATGTGACTGGAAATAAGAAGGCTTTGAAGAAGAATAAGAGCCAATCATCTGCAAAGAATCATTCTCAGTCACAGATGGAATCTGAAGTATCCACAAAATCAAGTCCTAAGAGCAAATCTTCCCATGAGAAAAATCCAGTTGCAAGAAAACCAAATGCAGCTGTTGCTGTGATGAAAAAGCAGAGAAACCATGGTGTTCTAGGTGCACGGCTTCAGAATGGCATTGGGGACCCTGAGGCAGGATTGGATGATCCAGACCTGGGTCCATTTCTTCTAAAACAGGTCAGGGATATGATTTCTTCGGGCCAAAATCCACAAAGGGCTCTTGAATTAGCTCTTCGAGCAATAAAATCATTTGAGAAATCTGCAAATGGGAAACCCAGTTTAGAGCTGGTGATGTGCTTGCATGTCTTGGCAGCATTATACTGCAGCTTGGGACAATACAACGAGGCAATTCCTGTTCTTGAGCGCTCGATTGAAATTCCAGTGATTGAAGATGGCCAGACTCATGCGCTCGCTAAATTCGCAGGGTGCATGCAGTTGGGAGACACTTATGCAATGCTGGGACAAATTGAGAACTCGATTTTATGTTATACCGCAGGTCTGGAGATCCAGAAACAGGTCCTGGGAGAAACAGATCCTCGAGTTGGCGAGACGTGTAGGTACGTAGCTGAGGCACATATTCAGGCATTGCAGTTTGACGAGGCAGAGAAGCTCTGTCAGATGGCTCTTGACATCCACAGAGAAAATGGTTCCCCTGCTTCTATTGAAGAAGCAGCAGATAGGAGACTCATGGGACTCATCTGTGACTCAAGAGGCGATTATGAAGCTGCTCTAGAGCATTATGTTCTAGCTAGCATGGCCATGGCAGCACATGATCATGAAGTGGATGTTGCTTCAATTGACTGCAGCATTGGAGATGCATATCTGGCACTTTCTAGGTTTGATGAGGCAGTTTTTGCTTATCAGAAAGCACTCACGGTCTTCAAATCTGCGAAAGGGGAGAATCATCCAGCAGTTGCCTCAGTTTTTGTTCGTTTGGCTGATCTATACAACAAGATAGGAAAATTGAGGGATTCTAGATCCTACAGTGAAAATGCACTCAGGATTTATGGAAAGCCTAATCCTGGGATCCCTGCAGAAGAGATAGCTGCCGGTCTCATTGACATTGCTGCCATCTATCAATCCATGAATGAGCTAGATCAAGCACTCAAACTACTCAAGAAGTCTTTGAGGATTTACAATGACACTCCAGGTCAACAGAGCACCATTGCAGGCATCGAGGCACAGATTGGGGTCATGTATTATATGATGGGGAATTATACTGAATCCTATAACACCTTCAAGAGTGCTGTTTCAAAGTTCAGAGCCAGTGGGGAGAAGAAGTCAGCCTTGTTCGGGATTGCCCTGAACCAGATGGGTCTTGCCTGTGTGCAGAAGTATGCCATAAACGAAGCAGCTGATTTGTTTGAAGAAGCAAGAAGTATTCTAGAGAAGGAATATGGTCCTTGTCACCCTGAAACCTTGGGAGTCTATACTAATCTAGCGGGAACCTATGATGCAATGGGAAGGTAAAATTTTCTTTACACTAAAAGCTTTCAATTCTCAAGTTCTTTAGCTACCGTTAAATTCTCATGTTTTAAAATTTATGATGTCACAGATTGGATGATGCCATTGAAATTTTGGAGTTTGTTGTTGGTATGAGGGAAGAAAAACTTGGAACAGCAAATCCTGATGTTTATGATGAAAAAAGGCGGTTGGCTGAGTTATTGAAGGAAGCAGGAAGGGAAAGAAGCAGGAAATCCAGATCACTGGTGACCCTTCTTGACACCCACACTGAAATTTTAAAAGATGAAGGCATCACAGTATTATGAAGATCAATGAACATTTTACAGAAGATGGATCAAGTGTTTGGTTTGTCAAATTCATTTCTAGTGAATTGGAGTGTGAATCAGGCTTGGAAATTTGTCTTGGGCAGGGAGTCAAATGAAAGCTACACCTGTACTTTCATTGTTTATGTAACTTTGTATACCTTGTTGAAATTTTAATAAAGAAATGGTGGGGTTTCATTGTCTTCGCTCATAAAGCAGGTCTGAGAGAGCTATAAAATCAGAATTTTGTTGAATTTCAAAGAGTAAAGAAGTATCAAGAATTTGTTCCCTTCTAAGCCTTCAAGTAGTTGAGTTCTGGTGTAGGTGATAGAATAGATCTCTGTAAGACAAAGGATGAAAATGAAAGAATTGATAGATCTGCTAAACCTGAAAAGCATTTATGAGCATCCATTTCCTTCCCTTCATTAAAAGCAATTAAAGTGGAGAGTTGCAGAATACTTAAGAAGCAATAATGTAATTATAATGCTACAAAAAACATAGAATCATCAATCATGGGATATGGAGAAAGAACACAAAAGGGTTGAGCTATCTTTATTTATCAGAATAAAAACTTTAGTAACATACTGTAACAGGAAAGATTCATTTCATACTCAAATGTTTCTGGGATGATGACAGGCACCTTGAATTGGAACAGGTGGGTCAGAGAGGGATCCATCAACAATGTGATTTGCAATCAAACGGTTAGCTGCCTCAGAGTAGTGTATCCCATCCCAGCTGATATGCCTTGATGGATGATTGCAGGGGTTACCATATACTGTTCCATTTACTATGGCTTTTTTCCCACAATCAATATGGTATCCATAGAAACTTCCGCAGCAAAAATTGAATGGATTAACAAAACCTGCCATCATAACAACAGTATAATCAAATAAGGATTATAATTAGCTTGGCTCTTAAACACGCATTTGTGGTTGTGGACATAAATATACTTACCTAGCTGCTCTGCATTGCTAATTACTGCATATTTAGCTGAATAAACATCAACGTATGTAAATTCTGCATAAGGGAGTTGTGTCCTTAAAGCAGATATCTTGTCCTTGAGTTGCCTATTGAACTCCATAGCAAGCTGATTCCGTGACTCCACACATCCACTCTTATCTCGATTGCCATGGTTATAGATAACACTATATGGCAAGCACCCCAATGGGCCAGTATTATGCACCCAAAAGAACCTTGCTCCTTCATTGTACAGCAGCTGAAACCAGAGAAATAACATGATGCCTATGTAACCAAGTATTCGATGCTTTTGCTAATATGCTTGGAATGTTTTTGCTTCTTACATGCACTGCTTCAGATAACTGGTTGAGGAGATTAGGAATAGATGCTCGAACTTCTTTCTCTGTTGTATGTTGGAAACCATAAGCTAGATCGTTTTGTCCAATATCAAATGTATATAGAGCCTTTGGAAAGTCCTCTGGCCTTGGTAGATTGCTTTCAAATGGTGGGATTCTTCCTGTTTCAAAATCAGAAACAGAGAGCGAGTTATGAAAGAAACTGAAGTTAGGCCAAACAGGGTTTTCTTAAAAGTTAAAAAAAGTGCTTCTGTCAGCTTCTAGAGGGCTGCAAATCTGTAACTTTTGCATATAAACTTTTAAGTTCAATAAAATTTATCACCTTCTCATTGTCTCTGTGTATTAAAATATCAGGTTTTGCAGGAAGACTTTCAGAAAAAAACTTAACTCAAATAGCACGTTTACAAAAGCTCTACTGAAACTCTAGTACTATGCAGCTTTAGGACATAAGATTAACATGTAAATGGCACAAGATTTGTGCATACACTTCAAATACAATGATGGAGACACTTACCTTTGTGTTTGAGCTGTTCATAGAGAGCAGTAGTGCGGGATTTAAACTGAATGAATTGTGCAATCTGAATCCCAAGATCAAATGGACTATAACCAGGAAGTATAATGGATGAACCTCCAGTTGCAAAATTAGCACCATGCTCGAAATCTGCCCCAACTGAGTCCAGGTATGCACTGAGGTAAGGTAACTTCAGATGCTCAGCTGCAACAAGCAAGAAATGTTAAAAGTTGAGAGATGTAAGTACATGAATCTGTTTGTGCAAGAAATTGAACAGTGAGTCGCTGACCTATGAAATCTATGACGAGACGACCATCACAAGCCCTCCCTGCAGGATGTCCAAAGAACGTTTCTCCATTTGGGGAAGAGATTGCATTGAATGCTGCAGATCTTCCTCCAGTGTCTGAATTTGAGTCCCCAAAGTTGTATATTGCTGGAAACCAGCATGGTCCTAAACCCCCACCGTCTTCCATAGCTCCCAATTGCTTCACCAACCCACAAACCAAAATCCCAAGCATACAGAATAGCTTCAAGGAGTCCTCCATTATTTTTTTAGCAGAAGCAACACCAAGCAAGAGTTCAAAAAAGGGATAAAGAGTAAAGACACTCTCCTGCTTTCTATAAGCACAAGAGTAACCGACCTGGACTGTAAAGTAAAAGGGACATCTATGTTTTGGAATTTTCCTAGGAAGATGACAGGCAAGACATAAATGATTAAACATCATACATTGAATTAGCTTCACATACACTGTTGTCTCCTCTTGTAAATCTTTCTGCAAAATTTGAAAATACTACCTACATCCAAATTTTATAGTTCTAGTTTGTTTTTTAAACTTTTTTTAACATTAATTTTAAATAAAATTTTAATAAATCATATGGATGATAATTAAAATTTTCTTCTTCCTTTAAGGAGTTCTTTTTGAATAATTTTATTTAATAAAAAAATTTCAATTATCATTTAGAAACTATATTAAATTTTTATTTAAAATTAATATATATATAAAAAAAAAAACCAAATTATGACAACTAAAGTTCAGCCCAGGTACTCTTGCTACCACTTTAGTCCTTGATCTGCATTGGGACAAGAGAAAACAATGGCCCCTCAAAATGGACGGTAACATGTCCAACTAGCAGATGGTCATGGTCCCATTTTCCTTTTCTCATGTTGATGATTTGGTATTTAATGGATTGTGATAGGGCTGAGCATT